CTCTTCTCTCTCCTCCTCCCCCTCCCTCCCTCCCCTCTCCCTCCCTCGCTCTTCTCTCCATTCCTCCCTTCCTCGCCTCTCTCCCTCTCTCCCTTCCTCCCTCGCTCCTCATCCCTCCCTTCCACTACCCTCTCCCCTCTCCCCTCTCTCCCTCCGCTCCCTCTCCTCTCCCTCCCTCTTCTCCCCGCCGCATCATTAACGGGGTCCTCTCTCTGTTCCAGGGCCAGCGCGTGACGACCAATGGCACCCTGGACGCGTTCCTGGTGGCCGGCGCCCCTCGCCTGCACACCCAGAGGCGCCACGTCGCCCTCCGGAAGAACCTCACCCTCCAGCATGACGACATCGAGTACTGGGGCGTCTACCTTCTCGAGGGCTCCAGCTTCTCCCTCTCCTCTTGCGCAAGGTGAGGGGCGGGTCTGTGTGTTTTTTTTTTTTTTTTTTTTTATGGCGGGGTTTTATGGGCTCTTTTTAAAAGGTGATTGGCGTTTTCTCTTCTTTTTTTTTAGGGTGTTATTTCCTCGGATTGTTTCCTCTCTCTCTCTTGCGCGCTCGATTGCTCGCGCGTTCTCTTGCTCCGATTTCTGTTAGTAGTTTTTTTTTTTTTGTTTTTGTTTTTGCCCTAAGCGAATTTCTTTTGGATTATGTTTTAGATCTTATGTGTTGTAATCTACGGGAATTTATAGTTTATTTATCATTTTGAATTCAGGGGAGTTTCATTCAAGGAAAGTTCACAGCTGGTCCTCAATAAATGTATTTCCATATGGCACAATTCCAATAACATGACCGTTCGTGTCCTCGCCAGATGGCCCGGCGGAACCCTCCTGGTGGTGGAGGGCGAGGAGAACCTGCGCAAGTGCTTCTACAAGGAGCAGAAGCTGGAGAACGAGCTCAACGGCGGGACGAAGGTGCTGAAGACCGTCTACCACGGAGACACCGACGCCGAGCCCGACGACGGCCCGAGGGACGAGGACAACGACGAGGACAACGACGACGTCGGCGGCGAGGTCTTCGACGACGACCACGAGCACGACCTGCGTCTCCTGGAGGCTGACGACGGCGAGGAGAGGGACATCGAGGGCAACGGCGACGGGGTGGACCTCTCGCCCTCCCTGAGCCACCCCAAGAACCTCAAGGCCCGCAAGAACGAGATGGGCAAGGCGAAGCGCAAGCCCAGGAAGGGCAAGAAGCACAGGAAGGGCAAGAAGAACGACAAGCAGGACGACCAGGAGGAGGCGCGCCGAGGGCGGTCCCGCAGGTCGCGCCTCGTGGAGCGCGTCCGCCGCAGCAGCCCCGGCTTCGACGACAACCGCGAGGTCTCGCTCGCGGAGAAGCTGGAGATCCTGCGCAGGCTGAACGACACGGTGGACATCACGTCGGGCAACTCCTCGTTCTCAAGCAGCGAGGAGTTCCTGGAGCAGTGCAAGGACACCATCCTGACGGTGGACCTGTCGCCCTTCGTCGACTGCCGCGACCGCATGGACAGAATGAACCTCGCCAGCGACGGCCAGTGGACCTTCAAGATCAACAAGACGGACTACTACTACTTCATCTTCACTTCGGACAACTCCATCGAGCTGAACCTCCTGGACTTCAACCTGGACCTGCAGCGCGCGATCTACGACGTGAGTTCCCCGCTGGACACCTGCCGCAACGCCACCGAGTGCGTGTTCCCCCTGGCCTTCACGCAGGAGGAGGCCGTCGTGGTCGAGGTCCCGGCGCAGGAGCGACTCCAGGAACTCCACTCCTTCGAGGTGACGACCACCTGCCAGCCGCGAGTCCCCGTCTACATGGTGTTCATCCTCCTCGTTCCCTTCATCATCCTGCTGTTCGCTTTCCAGTGATTCCTTTCCTCCTTTTGAATGTTCGTGTTTTCGAATTTTCAAGCAAAAGCGTAAATGCTCGTCTGTTCGTCCATTTCGCCTTCCTTGAGAGGGCCAAGTTGCAGCGTTCGAAGCTGCGGATTATACCAGTGTCAAAGAGAGAAACGACATCGACTGTGGCATTGTCAAGGTGCATCAGATGTTGCAAGCAAGCGGTGTTATCAAAAGGCATGCATTCAAAAGACTTGGCGTTTTGTACATATAAATAAGAATGCAGGATCTAGTGGACTTCCCCCGTGTGATTAAAAAACAAACCAGGAAGTGACTCTGGGCAGGACAAAACCAGTGTCGTTTAATTGGGAGTAACAAAGGCCCGGAAGAGAACAGGCGCGGAAGGCGTGTCTTCGGGGCCTGTCGGAGGCAACTGGCATTATCCTTCTCTCGCCTCCCGCTGCCCGAGGCCGGCCACGCGCCTGCGCAAAGCTATCTGCCAAAACACGTGCTTCTCGAATCGCCTTTAAACTAGTCATTTCCTCCCAGAGGTCAGTGACGCCTGGCTCAGAGTTCACTTTGACGGCGGCGATGACGAACGCTGGTGGCGCTGGTGCCACTTGGGTCGCGTGTTGTAAATATCTCTCCTCCTCGAAGTGTGATATCATGATGTTCTCTTTTAGACTCGATTGAACGAGTAAATACAAAGTGATCTTGTAGTGAGCTCTGGTTCCCTGAAAATCTTTTAAAAATAGTTTGTGGAGTGCAACTCTGAAATGAATCCATACTCAAAAAGGTTTAAAGTTTAGATGTAAACCACTACTACTTTTACTACCACTACTTTTACTATCACTAATAGTATTACTTCTACCGTTACTTCATTCAGTTGCTGTCACGATCATTGTCATGGCATCTTCAATCATTATTAGTTATTAAAATTGTTTTTGAATCCATGTTTGCTATGCATTTCTGAGAACAATGAGGGCATGTGGTTGCCATAGTATTAGGTTGATTAAGAAGTCTTTCCCATAAACATGTAAGGTGTGTTTTGGTTTATGTAGGCGTTTGCCTGGTTTTATGTAACCCTTAGAGTGTCATCTGTAGTGTTTTTTTTTTCTTGCTCTGAGATGGTTGGGTCGTTTCCAGGAAGGGAAAGGCTGTTAAGTGTCACACGCTTACAACCTTGTAAAAAAAATGTATATTCCATACGCTGTGATTGTGGACATTCTTGCTTAATGACTTGATGCAGATTGTTATCCGATCTTGGGATGGTTATTGAAAAACAAGAGAGTAAAGCATGCACGTAAAGATTGCTTCCATTGATACAAGCAAGTGATGTAGGCTTTTATCATGTCAAAGGAATTGAGTATTTGGTCTGCCCATTGAATCCACCGCTACTGTAGCACTCGCCAGAAAATAAGCATCCTGAAATATTTGAAATTCCAAGGGATAGGCTACAGTACGTGTGAAAATGCCCTCGACACGCCGATCTGGTGGTAGTCTGATATTGGGGTAGTTTTGTACATCTGCTCTGTCTTCTGCAGAGTAGTTTATGCCAACAAAATGAAGGCTGATCTCATTATTACCTGTCGCTTTTCACCCGAGAAGAAATCCTAAATTTGATTCATCGATTACTTCGGTGCTGTTGGTTTCATTTTTTTTCTTTCGATAGTAAATAGTTCGTCTATTTATAAAAGTGGTAGTTTGACGATGTTTTCGATTGAGGAAAATCAATTATCTCGCTCTTCCGCTTTTCTCTAATATATAATTTTTGTAATATGAAAATCTTTAGCGTCATATTGTTTGGCGAGAACCAAATCGTCATTTTCATGGGTGACACAAAAATTGTAATTAAAACCCTCACATGCATTCCACAGATCATTTCTTTATTATTTAGCTTCTTTGCCATGTATTCTGTATGTACACACGGTCTTGTGCATCATGTGACCCCAACATTGTGCCTTGAAGCCAGTACAAATATGTATATATGTGAATGTCATTTGTATTGAATTCTGTTTCTTTGTAAATTATTTTGTACCATTGCTCACGACAAAATATAACTGTTAACAAAAGTGTGATTATTATTCCAAGCCTATAGATATGTATAAAAACTAACATCCCCACAAAATAAAACACGTAATAACCCAACAATAATAAAAACTAACATCCCCACAAAATAAAACACGTAACTTCACTTTAATTCATATGTAACAACTTTACTGATAATATAGTACATTCTGTACTAAGTGGCTTATTTTCTGCCGGGTGAAAGCTTGTAAAATTGAGTGATTACTTGAATAATTTACATACAAGACACATACCATGAGTTCTGTGAGGAAATAAAGAAAAACTGTTCGTTTCAAAAATGAATGGCTTTCAAAACTAATTCATGGATTGCATCTACGTCTTCATTTAATTTTCTTCTTAAAATAAACAAGTATTTATGCCGGCTCTCTTAAGCTCGGCAAGGACTTCCTTAGAAAATGGTTAATAGTTAAAATGTATAAGCATCATAATTGAATGTAATATTATATGAATATTTGCCTTTTCTCTTATTTCAGTTTTTCGTTTATTTGCTCAATTTTCTTATTTTTCTCCTTGCTGCTATTACTTATCTTTTATTTATGCTATAACTAATAATGTGTGTTCTTGTTCTTGTAACATTTCACATAAATGAAAATCAGACACATGATAAATTATTCATATATAATATATATAATACACATATGCCGTGTTCGTGTGCCTTTGTTTATCACTGAATAAATATATACACATACTTTTCATCTCATCAATCCGAACTGAAAATCAATCCGTGCATCTTCTTTAATGACAAGACAAATGACAAGAAACATAACCGCCTTTCCCAACATCATCATAAATAATAAAAAAAAAACACGTGACAGAGCAATCCAACCCCAGGGGGCATAACAATAGCAGGCAACAAAATGAAAAAAACATAATCTCCAGTTTTCTTTATTTGATTATATTTAAATATGTTTCATAAAAATGTGAGTATACCAGTGTCGGTACCAGAGACGTGAAAGCATCGAAAATAATCACAGAATATGTTGGCAAATAATAAATTACAAAAAAAAAGATTCCTAGCTGCTGCTGTTGCTTTCTCTCGTCTGTCACTGCAAGTACATCTACAAACACGACATCGTCTACTTCACAAAACCTTCCTCGACATCACTATCTTCACCATTACTACTCGTCCTCTTTCGTCCGTCCGGAAGGCCCAAAAATCTATTGAAATCTATTTTCTCTCTCTCAAAAATTGGTCCTCCGTGTAAAAGAGAGAACAGCTGATATTATATTACAGTCCACTGCATATATACACAACTAGAGCTTGTTCTCTTTGCCATCCTCCCCCGCTCCGCTGCTCTTGTTTCCAGTCACAAATGTGTGTCTGTGTGGCTGGTGTGACGCCGAGAGTGGCTGTATGTGCGTGTGAATGTGCGGTGAATGTCTGCGTGTGCGTGTGTGGCTGTGCGTGTGCGTGTGTGGCGTGTGAGAGAGAGTGGCTGTATGTGTGTGTGTGTGCAAGTGTGATGTGTGCGTGTGCGAGTGTGGCTGTGTGTGTGTGAGAAGAGTGTGTAAATTTCGTATACATGTGTGTCTATGTGTGTGCGTTTTGGGGTGGGCGTTGGTGTGTGCGACGTAGAATGGCCGTGGGTGTCTCTCTGAATGAGTGTTAGTGAGAGCCAAACTGGGTTGGAGTGAGCATGGGGAAGGGAAGGTGCTTGAGTGTGGAAATGAAAGGATATGAGTGAAGTGAGTGAGTGAGTGAGTGAGTGAGTGAGTGAGTGGTGAGTGAGTGAGTGAGAGTGAGTGGTGGGTGGGTGGGTGGTGGGTGGGGTGAGTGAGTGAGTGAGTGAGTGAGTGAGTGAGTGAGTGAGTGGAAGTGAGTGAGTGAGTGAGTGAGTGTGGAATGCGTGCGTGAGTGAGAGTATACATAAGTGAATGTGTGAAAATAAGAATGAGTGGCTGACTGCTTTAAAATGTTTACGTGGCAGTAAGTGAATATCATGGGTAGATGGGGGCGAGTGATGAGAGAGAGAGAGTGAGAGGAGAAAGCGGGAGTGAGTGAATGAGTGTGAGGAGCGATGTGTGAGAGGGGGAGGGAGGGGAGGAGGGAGGGGAGAGGAGAGAGAGAGAGAGAGAGAGAGAGAGAGAGAGAGAGAGAGAGAGAGAGAGAGAGAGAGAGAGAGAGAGAGAGAGAGAGAGAGAGAGAGGGAGGGAGGGAGGGAGGGAGGGAGGGAGGAGGGGAGGAGAGAGAGAGAGAGAGAGAGAGAGAGAGAGAGAGAGAGAGAGAGAGAGAGAGAGAGGAGAGAGAGAGAGAGAGAGAGAGAGAGAGAGAGAGAGTGAGAGTGTGTGTGTGTGTGTGTGTGTGTGTGTGTGTGTGTGTGTGTGTGTGTGTGTGTGTGTGTGTGTGTGTGTGTGTGTGTGTGTGTGTGTATGTGTGTGAGGGCGTGTGCGTGTATCTCATACAAATACATTCAATCCTACGATGTACCTTTCTGTTGGATAATATACATTGTTTTTTTCATACTTAGATTTGAACATTCATAACCAAATACCACCAATGGATCAAACTGGTCATCTACATCAATCGGTTCTTTTGACACAAGACAATGACATGATCGTATCAAAAAATCACTATATAAAGTTTTTTAATGTCTAAAGAAAAAAAAAATTCCGCCATGCATAAAAATAACCTAAGGTCTCGAAGCCTGCATTATCAAGGTACAACACAATGACCAATTTCAATACAATTAGAACAGTTTCCCTTCGTAAAACTCCCAGACCAGTTTACAGAACACTACAACAGAAAGTGGTACTGATTATCCAACAAGTGTTTTGCCTGAGAAGCTTATAGTATCTACTTGATAGGACCTAAAACAAGTCTTCTTCTCATAAAAATCACAATAAAAATTCCTAGAGGTTTTATATCCATACAAATTGTCCACACAGTGTCCAGAGGAGCTACCTATACATGGGCTTTCTAAAAAGGTCTAGCGGATGCAGAATTTGATCCAAGAGTGTTTGTACGAAAACATTCACATTGTATACTTGCAATGACAAAGCTGCGTGGGTAAAAGGGTGAATTTACAAGCATCCTGGGTCAAGGTTTGGCCTGTGGGGAATGGGGGTGTTGCTGCGTCTTGGTTTAAAACATTCCTTGTCTTCTTATTCACACTACATTGAAATTTCAGACTCTCACACAGTGGTGTTGGGGGGAGGGGGGAGGGCAGCATGTTAGAAAACACACTGAAAACTCTTGTGACTTTTTCTTTTTATCGTGGTTCGTCTTGAAATTCTTTAAGAGCACTGCTTAGAGAGTGAGGAGGCCCACACATGCTCCACAGGAATCCAGCTGACGGTGATGCTTCATTTTTCCCCCGAGGTCTTCTTGTAAACCATTTGATACGACAGCAAATTATGACAAGCCGACTGTTGCTGTGCACCATTAATAAATACTGCCTAAACATCAGATTCTGTGTACCATAAAAAAAGAAAAAGAATATACATAACTCTGCCCTGTTGATATACTGTAGATGTTTATACACAAAGACTAAAACTAAATATGAATTTCAAATAAAATGACCATATTGAGAGCAGAAATACTCCAAAAGACCACCAATTCATAAGAAATTTTCTTCAATGACAGCTTTCTATTTCATTCATGCCTGTAAAAGCACAGAACTCATTGTACAAGAGAGAGTTAGCCACTGGATGAGTAATCTTTAAACCTAATTCAGTGTTATTATCAATTCCAAATTTTAGGAAACTGAACATTTAATAAATAAATGTTATTAAATAATGCATTCCAAACTTACCTATATATTAACCACAATGCTTAACTAATGAACTGGATTTTTTTTTATTAATGGAAAAAAGATTTTGAAAAATAGGCAAAAACAGAGCTAACTATTTTTTTTTAGTTTCACTTCATTCCTGGTCAAGAAAGAACTGAATATCTTTTTATTTCCTTTTCCATACCCTGATGCAGGCCTAATACTCTCCCTGCAAAAAGAAGAATCACAAAAAAAAGTTCCACACTACCTTAAAAATCAAGGTAGTTACAACACAAAGTCTTTACACATGAAACGACGTGTCAAGTCTCTCTAATTTTTTTAAACCTTAGTCATTTGGGAAGGCATCATCATCAACATTATCATCATCATCATCATAATCATCTTTTTCAGCCTGGGAGATACACATACACATTCAACGTGTCTGAAACGAGTTGCCAGCTTCATAGGAGGTGACAACCGGGGGGGGCAGGAGGGGGGGATATGACCCTGTTGCAGAGGTGCTTTCAGCCTTTTCTTTGTAGTGTGAAGAATTAAAAACACTTCCCCTTTCAAAAGAGGGGCGTGGGTAATCTCGTTTAGAAAAAAAAAATGATAAAAAATAAAGGCTAAAATATGTTACATTGTGTGTATTATATATAATAATTAAATTAATCGGACCACCACAAACAGCTGATTATGGTGCTCTAGCAACAGATGAGATTACACTCCATCACTCATCTATACTACATATATTTCATAGATTGTTTATACATATTGTCAATTAACCAGATACGTAAGAACACTTAAGTCATCCTTTTTACATAATCGTACAATGTCGTGACATCTTTACAAAATTAAGTTTTCTAAGTGTTGTGCACACAAGAGTGAGCCTGCGAGACATACTAATATCACAAAAGATAAAGCAAAGGATTGCTATTTATAAACATGGCTTTCATCTGTCACATAGACCTGTTGGCAAGACCTGAAACTCCTCTCTTACTGGAAAAAAGTCACTGAAATATATATTAAGTCCTTCTAATCAAACCATATAATTCATACTCATGCATCAACGGCGCATGATCCTGCACGGTGGAAAACGAAAGGAGAGTAAAGGAAAGGAAGAACAAAGTTACTTCTGTCATATTACAGACAAATACATTCTTAAAAGACATCAACAAAGGGAAGCATACGATGAAAAATGATTTGAGACAAACCACAAGCCCCAGGAACATTACGTAGAGGCCCTAAGCACCCATACTGAACTCTATTAACTCTTGGGCCGTGATATTCATCTCTCGGAATACAATGGGTGCAGACAATTGCACGTAGCTGACCTCCGAATATACAATAAAATCACAAGACTAGCTTTCACATCAAATCGCAACAAATTTGACAGTAGTATGCACATACCAATGACAGACTTCATGAAGGTGGTAAAGTTCAAAATCAAAAGAGCTACATATAATAATAATAATAATAATAAACAAAAGGTCTGCAGCTTCAAAATCAAATGGCAACCAACCTAGGCTACAAAAGCACCCACCATAATTTAACTTTTCCTGCTGCCACCTTCAATTACACGTTGATAATTCTTCAGGTTTTGATTAGAATTAACACACCAAATTTATTCTGCATGCAAAAAGCTACCTATGAAACTATTTGTTTACATAATGTACAAATAATTTTTAAAGTATCCTGTTTGTCCCTCTCCACTGGCCAGCACCATGCAGTGTAGCCAAATCACAAGTATTCGCACTAGCATTCACCTTTTTACACAGAATATATAGCGCTCTTGCATACTGGCAAACATGGAACACTTTTGTGGAATAGTTTGTGAAAAGTTCCTGTAACTTGTGAGCATTCAGCAACTCCAGGACAAAATTCATGCTCCATTGAAGGTAGACGCTGGGTAGCAAAATTTTTTTCCGAGTCACTAATTTTACAGTGTCTTTCTTTCCTACATCAACCAGCACGTAATTTGAAATGTTTTTAAATGCAGGAGTATTGTCGTTTGCACATTCAGAATGAGAATCAACAGTGTAAAACTCCTCTAGCATCACCCCAAGGTGCGCTGCTCATTTTCTATCTTTTCATTTATTTGTCTGGACTTGTGAGCAATGACATTTAATTGTTTTTGTTTTCTATATCTTTTAATATATCACTCTATTCTAAAATGGATTTATCATTTTGGATTTCTAAAAGGATGTTATGTTCACAGTAAAAACGTCTTACTCAGAATATCTTACCCAATTACAATCGCTAAAAGCCTAACGCTGAACTGTATTGGTAACATCCCTCACTGTGCTCTCAATTTCTGCAAAGAGCTTTTCATTGTGTTCAATTGAGCGTCCCCCTGCTGAGCGCAACTGCCTAGTCTGGAGCTCTAGACGGGTTAGAAGTTCTCGCATGTGAAATCGACTCTGAGGTGGAATGTTGTCCATGTATTCCCAACAGGCTTGGTAAAAGTCTAATACCCTTTGTGCTGACTGGATGCAAGCAGCAACCGTAGTGGTGGCTCCCTCCGTCCGCAAGGTCGCCACTGAGGCCTCCACTCCACGACCTTGCTCCACTAGCCCAGCTTTCTCTGTGCTGCTATTAGAGGAACCACTAACACTGTCACTCGGCAAAGTTCCGCCCGAAGATGTCATACTGGGAGGAGGATTACCAGAGGCATTATCTTTTGACACAGAGTCTTTCGTTTCTTTAAGGGCTTTACTGTCCTTACTTTCGGAATCCTTGCCCTCCTTCTTCACAGAAATAACTGGCACCGACGGAGGCCTGATGAGTGAGGGGGTGGCATAAATACCCGCTGGCTTGGGTGGAGGTGGCTTGACTCCAGCAGGTGGAGGAGGCAATTTGAAACTCTTCACTACGGGCTTAACGGGAACGGAGGGCTTTCCGTCCGCCGGCTTGGCATCCATTTCACTACTGCTGGGTGGTGGCCAAACCCTCCGCTCCAGCTTGCCGACCTTGCCCTCGTCTTCAGGGGTCTTTTTTAGAACTGGGGTGTCAGCGACCGAGTCTTTCTCACTTTTAGTTAACTTTGGCAAATCTGGCCGTTTGTTCATACTTGGAGCATATTTGGGACTAGTTTGATTAGGATCAGCCTTGGCCAGTTTATCAGCATCCTGCTTCTCCCACAACTTCTTTAAACTACTTATGCTACTTGAGCTAAAACGTTTGGCATCCTCATCTTCACTCACTTTTAAAGAATCACTCTGAACACTATCTCGCTTCTCACTATGAATACTCGTCACACTTTCGCTCATTATATCACTCTTGATTCCCGAGTCACAGCTCCGTTCGTTCTTCCCAGCATTATCACTCTTTTTGTTCACTTCACTAAGCACTTGTGAACCATTTTCCTGCTGATCACCTGGAGAGGTGTCATCTCCTATGGCCTTGCTATCGTCCTCTTTAACAATATTGGTTTTTCTTAACTGCGCTCTGAAGTCCATCAAAGTACTGTGAGGATCACTTTCCATGTTAACATTATCATCACCCTTACTAGTGTCCGTTTTCCGAAGCTGAGTTTTAAAATATATTTTTCTCTCCTCTTTTTCTGAACTGCTCTTTTCAAATGTGTTTTTTACTTTCTTCAAATTGGTCTTAAAACCAATTTGATTACTACTGTCTCTTAAATTACTATTGTCAGATTCAATATTCACTGCATTACCATTATCTAAATGAGGAGTATCCGCTACTTTGTTGGATTTTTGTCGTAGGCTCTCAAATAACTCCGAGACTAGTTGCACTGCAGGATTCTTTTGGCTTCCAGGCGACGTTTCTCCTCCTGTAACTCCATCTGGACTTGGTTCCTTCTTGTCATCTTTTTGTTCCTTCTTTTCATCAGCTTCCTTCAATTCAGAAACTAACTTTAACTCTAAACTTTCCTTGACTTCATGGTTGATTCCCAAGCCCAGTACAACCTTGGGTTCTTCAGCAGACAGTTCTTCCACGCTACCATCTCTGGAAGCTAACGAGGCAGCATCAACAGATGGAGGGCTGCCATCAACTGCTGCAGGAGAAGACGGGGCTTGTCCACTTTCTCCCACTGGAGAGGATGGAGTCTGCATGCCTTCTGTATCAGCTGATGACGATCCTGGACTCTTAGCTGCAGCAGAGCTGGACTTCCCCTTGCCTTTTGCACTAGATAGGCCTGGACGAGGAGACAGATTCTCTGTAGACTTGAAGCTTTCACATGAATCCGAGGACTGGTCTCGGTGCCTTAGGCTGACTCCAAATCGAGATGCTGGACTTCCTTCACTTGCTTCACCATCTAGACTTGTATCTAGATTAGGCTTTGCTCGCACTGGGGGCTTATCAGCATCTGCATCCCTCATCCTACACCTAGTTACACTCAGTGTAGCCCTGTCTGCCTGTGGGGATTCAGATCCTTCACCTGCACCTTGCTGTGAGTCTTGCACTGCAGAACTTGGCAACTTCTGTGGACTGACATTGGCAAAGTCTGCCTTTCGTCTAGCTCTCGGTGAAGGAATAGGTTTCTGAGCTAGGCGTCTCCTAGACTCTGGAGAGGAGGTGCCTAGCCAGCGGTCAGAACCAGGAGGTGGAGGGAACTCCAAGGCTGTCGATTGGTTCTCCTCTATGAAGTCATCTGGCGGAGGAGGCAAATCTAATGGAGGTGGTGGGAATTCTAGGTCTGCCAAACTGGGCTCTTTGTTCCGTTTATCGGACCGCAAGGGCTGCAAGCGTGGGCTTAGCCGAGATATCAAAGGCGACTGTGGCTGGAAACCACTCTGGGTTGAATTACTGCGAATCATGGATGCAGCATTCTTATCCACAGTATCCTTCTGATCGTCTTGGTCACCATGCTCATCTTGATCTTCCTGCTGGTGTTCTGAAGACTGTTCATCTGCTGGAGGAACACCCTGAGACAGGCCACTCTGACGGAGAGATTCAAGATAAGCACCAATCCTCGCACCCTTGGGAAGCGTGCCATAGCGGTTGATGGCCCTCTTGACATTATGCACTTCCAAGGCTGCAACAGTGATGTGTCTGCTGCCAATAGTGCCACTCTGGCTCTCGGATTTCTCCATCCTCCCTCGCCGTATTCTGTCTCCACCTGCCTTGGGGTCACGCAACCCACCTGACTTTTGTCTGGAAACAGAAGATGGGTTTAAATTTCTGTATTTGTTTATTTTTCAAAAACTTGTAAAGACAAATTTTAGAAGAAAGCTCTCAGAATATCAGTTAATTTCTAATACATTGTGCATTATCAAAAATATACAAGAAGAGATACATTAGCAATAAAAAGAAAACTGAAATCAATGGCAATTTATGAACCAAGTATCTTTTGCAATCCTATTACAAGCAACAATAATCATAGAGTAATACATATATAACAATTTCATGAAAATGCCACCAATAAAGCCTGAAAAAAATCAAAGCTCAAATACATTATTGGAAAACCTCCATCCTACTGAAAAAATAAATTTCTCCGCTCCTATCCCATTCAAGAAAAGTTCCATAGCTATGTTATGCCAACACAGCAACCAAACCCACCTAAAGGACTGCAAATGCGGAGGATCGGATCTAAAGGTGGAGTGCGTGGACGTGAGGCCCTGAGTTGTGGGTAAGGACTGTGCCCCGGAGTCTTCGGTGTCAGGCGTTCGCTCTCTCAAGTCGCTCTCACTTTCGGCATCATTGCTACTCGCTAGATCGGCCAGGTCCTTCTGGATTCCTGGGGGTGGAAAAGACCCTCGTGTCAAGGTAGACATCATAGTTGGAGGAACTGGAGTTGTGCGAGGCTTGGTTTAAGTACCGATCCCTTTAATTATAGATTTTGAAAATAGAAATAGTAATCACTGGGCTAAGAGTTTATGGTTTAGATTCAACTTGTGTTTGTTTGTGAGTCTGACTGTGGGTGTGAGTGTGGGTGTGAGTGTGGGTGTGAGTGTGGGTGTGAGTGTGTGAGTGTGGGTGTGGGTGAGGGTGTGTGTATGAGTGCGGATGTGGGTGTGAGTGTGGGTGTGGGTGGGTGTGAGTGGGTGGTGTTAGTGTGGGTGTGGATGTGTTGGAGTGGGTGCGAGTATAGATGTAGTTGTTGCATGTTTATTAATTTTGCTTGCAAATATGCTACCAGATTAATACACCTGTCCCATATTTAAATGCACGATCTTTATTCTTCTAGACCAAAATATTCTGCTCAAACTTTCATCAAATATAACCTGCCAAAATACCAATTTTAAGTCAATCTATCTGATTAAACTTGTTCACATTTTTTTCCCCCATACAGTTTAGGGTATATCATCTTTATACTCTTATATTTATCTTAGGATTATTCACCATCATTCATATGAACATACAGAAAACTAAGTACATTATGATGCACTAGCTGATCCCACACTATCAGAAAACATTAAAATACAATCAGAAAAGATTAAAAAATAAAAGGGATTACTTTCTTTATGCTAAATTATAAAAGAAATCAATGTATAGAGACCGTATTCTGTCCTCTCTCAATGACTACAATTTACAATAAAAAAAATTTCATATGCGTAGATTGTACAATCACACTGCTTCAAAATCTGATACTTGCTATCAATCACAAACATATTCCATAACTAGGTTTAGTGATCTTACAACCCATATTTTCATTTAATTTACCTATCAACCTATTTACCTATTCCTTATTCATCAATTTATTAATAACATCTTACTTTTCTTTTTTTCCCTTGTTCTCTCTCTCTCATAGACAGAGGTAACTGGTTCCTTTCATTGGTACTTTATTTAACATATGTATGTATTCGTCAGACCTAATCTGACCTATGATTCTCTTCCTCTCTGATCCTTACATCATAAAAGGCAGCTATTTGGTTATATTCAAACTTGCAGATAATCAAGTAATTTAATTATACATTCATTAATCATCTCCACCAATCTGTACCTTTAAATGAAACAATAAAAAAGCATTGATTCAGTGTGTATTTCTTCTGACTGAATGATAGACTCGCATACTAGTGGCCTGAATCAGAAAGGATGCTTCATAAAGAATTTAAAAATCATCAATCAACAACATAACTAACGTATCTGTAGTAATCATTACTTCAATAGACAAAAATAAAATTGAAAAAAAACTCAGTAATGGTGCATACAAACATGAAACAGCCACAACAAGAGAGGAATAAATAAATTATGACGCTCCCAACCAGATAAAATCCCAAATAGGAGATAATACACAAAGCAGATGGGGTACCACTTTGCCGTTACCTTCTGACGAGGACCTTAGCCTGATTCATAACATCACAATTTACTGAACCTTCCTTGGTATGGCTGCATTTCACTTCATCTATATCTTAACCTCTTTAAGAATAGTTTTTGATTGTCTTTGTTAGAAAATGTAATGTTTTACTCTTGTATCTCTCTTTATAAGCAGATAAGCTTTGTATGTTTTACGGAAAGTCATGCACGTATACAGGGACAGGTGTATTATGCCTTTTAAAATACGTTACAGCCAAGATGCAGATTATTATAACTGTAAGCAAGCCGAGAGTTTTGTGGTACTCAAGCCTTCCTGTCTTCTCAAAACCAAAAGGCTTTCTATGACGAAATCCCAAGTCATGAGAGGCCACGAAGACTCAAGCGTCACATTCTCAACTTCCTTGCCATGACACACATAAATGGCCTTAATCTTTTATGGCAATCTATGGTATGTTTATCTTGCAGGGAATAATAAACCAGAAAATATCTATCAAGGCAGTGGTTTTATAAAATGAGAAATGCTAACAGTTTACACTAAAACAACATTTTGTAAACATTTCTTGGGTACTGATTTATGATGTGAAAAGCATTTATTAATACTTGGAACAGAATTCAGTAGCTAGCAATGATCAAATAGACATCCTTTTTATATATTCTACAGTAATTCAAAAATAAATCTCTTTTCCATTACTGATGAACAACAAACTCCTTAATTTCACTGGGCCTAGACTAACGCAAATCATTATGAAACTGATTTAGACAAATTATGCAACAATATACATAAGGTTATCCTCATGAAGAAGAAAGAGGACAACCTCAATTTTCTCTTTAAACAAAAAAAAAAAAAAAAAATCAAACATTAACAAGGTACACCAAATTCAAGCCATAACAGAGAGAGAGAGTTAAGTAGGCAAAAGTCAGGAAAAAAAGCACAGCAGAAGAACAACAGTCTTTTAAAAAAAAAAATTGGTCAAAAACACCAAAAGCACAACGAACTTGCCTGTGTTGTAAGGAAGTGCATAGTGGGTTGTAATGTGGTATGGCAAATCAAACAGGTCATCTACTGTACTGGACATATTAAGTGGCGAGTACTCCGAGACCCATAACTCCGGCAAGGGAGGAACGGTGGCCTTGGGTAGAGCCAAACTGTAAAGTCCTTGATTACAATTGAAAAAACAAGTCACACCATGTTAAAAGAGTCCTCATTGCACTAACTAAGGGAACTCAAGGGTTGGTTTTTCTTTCTCGCTCTTTGATGGTTAAAAAAACATAATAATAACAATAACGATAGTAATAATAATAATAGTTATATTGATAATAATGATAATAAAAACAATAATAAAATAATAAGAATAACAAGAACAGCAATAACAATAATAACAATAATAATAATTATTATAATAATAATAATAATAATAATAATAAAATAATAATAATAATAATAATAATAATAATAATAATAATAATAATAATAATAATAATAATAATAATAATAATAATCATAATAATAATAATAATAATTATAAAAATTGAAAATAGAATATTTGGATTTATAATACAATCAATATGTACATATGCAAACACATGCACACATACGCACACACACATATATGCATACTCTCTTACATGAACTCTCACTCACTCACTAACACACACTCACACTCTCATTCTCTCTATCTCTCATTCTCATTCTCATTCTCATTCTCATTCTCATTCTCATTCTCATTCTCATTCTCATTCTCATTCTCATTCTCATTCTCATTCTCATTCTCATTCTCTCTCTCTCTCTCTCTCTCTCTCTCTCTCTCTCTCTCTCTCTCTCTCTCTCTCTCTCTCTCACACACACACACACACACACACACACACACACACACACACACACACACACACACACACACACACACACACACACACACACACACACACACACACACACACACAACAAAATAAATAAATAAATATAAATCTAGGTTGCAAAATAAAAATTAATGAATTCCTCTAAAAAAGATATAAAAAAATAAAAAAATAAAGGAATACATAAATAACACACGAGATGGATAAACTTACAAGACAGAAGTGGCTCCAACAGTCATGCTAACATTACCGAACGTAGCTCTGAGAAATTCCGGGAGTAACGCCACAACAAGACCTACTCACAATAGCACTCGGCTTCATATGAAGAATGAAAAAATAAAAATGTGCTTCTTATCATCCAGTAACAGCCTACTGCTGACTTCTATGGAAGGCAAAACTATCGTATATAGAGCACAAGGATATAAACTTCAGCTAGTATCAATCCATTGCAAAAATAAAAATGATTAAAAAAAAATAAAAAAATAAAAAATTCATAAAGGTATATATATATATATGTGAAAAAACTTCCTCATCAGGCAAGTCAAAGTTGGCAAGGTAAACAAGCAGAAAGGCAGAGGAGAGACAGGGACGAAAGACGTGGTACCTTCAAAGATTTTGTCTATACCATTGAATTCATTGAGCTCATCTCCCGCCATCCCGGCTGGCATGTCTTGGTCGGTGCAGGTACTATCACGGAATGAACTGGAAGAGGAAACAAAAGGTAAATACTCTCTGGAATTGTATTCTTAATCTGACTGAAATTGTTAAAAGTAACTACTTTTTCTATATGATTCTTTTTTCCATTTATTTACTTTTTTTTATTTTTTTTACTCAGAATCCTTCAGAACTTCAAAAACACTCAATTATATATGACAAAGTAGGTGTACTTGTACAATATCTTTTATAAATTCTTTAAACGAGAGGTATTACACATCCATACTTGAAAGAGCAAAACAAAGGAGACACTAACGATATATCTCAAATACAGGAAAAGCACAAAACTCACCTTGTTCTCTTTGGCGGCGCTGGTGCCTGTTTGCCCTTCTTGTTGGTGGTGCGGCGGAGCTGAACTACGGTGGAACGGGCAGAGAGGATGCCGGGGCTTGGCCGTACATCCCTTGGCAGATTGGGACTACTGCCTTCATCCATCATACCATGCTTGTTTTTAGTTCTTCTAGGAATAAAATACAAGTTTTAATAAAACTTCCTTCCATACTTCCATCCATATATCAATGTATCTACCTATCTATCTTGACACATTTCCCCTTCAAATCCAATAAAGTGTTAACAAAACCTCTCTCACATCATCGAAGGCCATTAAAATCCCAACATATGATTTAAAACAGAATAAAAACACTGCAGAACATTTAAAGTTCAGAATATATAACCATCAAATCTCAACCTTATCAAAGGCCACCAATATCATCATCCATCAACTCCCCTTCCTTCCACACACATGAACAACCCAACTTACTGCTTGGTGGAGGATGTTCTTGGACTAGTAGGAAGTTGTTCCTCATTCCACTGTTGGTGCGTGCCTGTGGAAGAGCCTCTAACCACCTTCCGTCCTCCACCTGCTGCTAACTGCTGTTCCACCTCTGTTAATACAATCATAAAATCATTTAGTGATTCTTCCTTTTGTGTGAGTCTGTGTGTGGTGTTCCAACACCTGTACACACAGTGGTAAATCTAGAATGTCCCTTGCATCTTTTGGAAGTCAGACACTTGTGGAGAAAAGTAAAAGCACAATTCTTTTACTATTTGTTACATTTATTAGCAACTTTCAATACAAAAGTATCTCTACGAAGTTCAATAAAAGTGAGAAGGACATCATTGCACTATCTGCCTGTGCACTCCCACATACCCTCCGTAATAGAAGTCTCCTGGAACATGGTCTCGAGTGCATGATGGATATGGGAGAATGTGGGCCGGTCCGATGGGATCCACAGCCAACACTGCTTCATCAATTCGTACACTCTTACTGGACAACCCTGAGGACAGTCCATTCTGGAAAGTTTGAAGTTTGGTTAAAAAGAAGGTATATATGATAGTCTTTGTATCAAAAATCAGCAACTTTGTAATACAGTTTTCAAAGCTTAAATCAGCAAAATGTAAAATTAGGTGCACAACATAAACCGGTGCCAATATATCATACACAGCAAAGATTTTATCAAGGAACATATTTCATACTCAGTGAATCATAAATCAGGAATAATCAACTACAGGGATAACAGTTCCCTTAGACTTCTACAAATATAAAATACATTAATAAACATCTCTTACCTATATCCTGATTCTAAAAGGTGATATACATTGGTCAGGTCTACCCCTGGATACGGTGATACTCCATATGTTGCAATCTCCCATAGTAATATGCCAAATGCCCAAACATCAGACTGGAAATGAAACGTTCCTCTGTGTAAACTACTTGCAGATCATATATATACTATGTGTCAGGCTAATGCTATACATATACTATATAGAAAAACCTTGACTTAAGATCACAATGAAAAATTGAAGACCTATACATCACACGGCATAACATTCATACCTTTGTAGAAAATTTATTATAGGCTAGACCCTCTGGTGCAGTCCACTTGATTGGGAATTTGGCTCCAGCATGAGCAGTGTACGTGTCATCTCGCATGAGACGCGCCAGCCCAAAATCAGCCACTTTGACTAAGTGGTTTTCCCCGACTAAACAGTTGCGAGCTGCTAAGTCCCTGTGTAATTTACAAAATATGTTTAAAACATCTTTCTCTGTAAAACAGTTACAATTCCAAAATCTCTTACATTTGACTGCATTTTTGAATCATTATACTGTAATTCAAAGTATTTGCCATTTAAAACATCTTACAATAACAAATATCTCTAAGATTTAAGTCCATTTATCTTTATGCTGACCCAGGAAATACAAAACCAAAATTAAAAAGGGAAAAAAAGTCTACCTGTGTATGAAGCTTCTGTCTTCTAGATACTCCATAGCTGCAGCTACCTGAGTTGCCATGTACAGCAAAGTTACCTCGTTGACCTCATCGTGACTACAAGTGCGCAGGTAGTCCAGGAGGTTACCTCGGGACATGAACTCCGTCACAATGTAAAAAGGGGGTTCCCGAGTACACACCCCCAAGAGCTGCACGAGATTGGGGTGCTTCATTTCCTTCATTATCGAGGCTTCTTCTAAGAAGTCCTTTAGGGCCATTGTATCTTCCTACAATTCAAGAAAAAAACATCAATTAAACCAGTAATACCTTTTACTGATTAATGTTATTACAAAATAATGTATTTTAAATGTTCAAATGTGCCATTAGTAACA